GATCGATACAGCTCATGTCTCTACGGGGGGTCAGCCCTATGTTCCCACAGCTCTATGTTCCCACATTTCTAAGATTTTTCTTAAAATTAGGTCATATGTTCCCACAGCCCTATGTGGTTAGGGTTAGGGTTAGTGTTAGGGCTAGAGTTAATGGGAGAAAGGGGTATAAAATCTGATACAAATTTATGAAAAAGGAAATGTGGGAACAAAGGGCTGTGGGTACATAGGGCTGTGGGAACATAGGCACACTCCCCTCTAGATAGGGCCTTTCACGTTTTTTGTGAGTTTTGTCACTGTATTCTCGTACACCTTGGAAGGAAAGCAGTATTAAGTGTTGCCAATCTGCAACCTTCTTGATGCCGGTACCACTGGTCCTTTAAGGAGTAGTTTGACTTCCACTTTGTTGATTTTTGACAGAGAGTAAGATTAGAAGATTGGTACCACTCTCTCTATTCTCTCTATCTAGTAGAAGGGTACAGCTAGTAGCTGATAGCATAGCTTAGCACAAAGACTGGAAATGGGGAAACCTCTAAAGCACACCAATTAACACGTTATATCTTATTTAACGTTATATGCTTCACTATTTCTTGGACGGGACCAGTAACTTTCTCGAATCTCGTTTGAACATTTTTTTTGTCCAGATGAAACTTACTAATCAGTGAGCTTTGGAGGAACTGATATAGGAGGATTTCGTTACCTTTGGACAGAGCCAGACTAGCTTTTCCATCTGTTTACAATCTTCATGCTAAGCTAAGCTAACCAGCAGCTGGCTGTTGCCTTGTATTTAACAGACAGAAATGTGAGTGGTGGCAAACTTCTCATCTGAATATCTGCAAGAAAGCAATCAAGCATAACTTCTGTTTTAGGTTTTCTAGCTCAGTGATCTTTGGTCAATGTATGCAATTTAGTTGCAAAGTTGACAGGATAAACAGGGACAAAATCTTATTTAAATGTGTGTTTGGTTCAATGTTCTGAATGCTGGACATAAGAAACATTTGCCCTAGGTCACAATTGAGCTCCCAGGACTTCAGTGTGCGGTTTAACCTGGGATTTTCATATACTACATGCATATAGATGCCTTTCTTACAGTTATGAAAACTACATATCATTTTAAATCATATAATTGGTCAAATTTTAAGTGAATGTTACCATGTGTAAACTTATGTCACTCAAACTTTATTTATGGCCTTTAAGTCACATTCCAGGACAAAAACTATGGTTGCCTCTAGTCTGTGTTAAAATGAAGATTCTGCTGTATAGGAATAAAACAGAAGGAGGGAAACTGGTTATTCCTATTTAACAGACTGACACACACACACACACACACACACACTCCCTCAATAATCTCCCAGAAACAAAGAACAAGTTTAAAAGAAGAGTGCTTGAAAGTTACACCTTAACCTCTGAGTGACTCATTCCCACTGCATATTCATCTTTGTTGATGAGGGCAGGTCTGTGGGCGTGTCCAGGGAGAGGCTTGTACAGGTACAGGTGAGACAGGTGGACCTCTCTCGCACCTCGCAATCTGGACTCTACATCAGCAGCACACACACCTCTTCATACCGACAGCGAAACCCTGCCAAGGTAAGACTGTCAGACATGAATGTTAGGATTTGATTGCAAAGATTCAGATTTTGTGTTTCTGAAGTTTGTAAGACGGAATCTAAAGCTGAAAGACGTAAAGGGAGTTCATATTTATGTCTGTGAGGTTTTGACATTTGTGGCCAGAAGATGGCTGAGATGGTTTAACTACTTCATATGAAAATTGTTGTTCATTGTTAAGTTATTCTGTTCAAAGAAGATAAACTGAGAAGTAAAAATGAACAGTACATTAAGCTTAAGTGGGAAAGGATTGATAATTATAAAAGAAGAAAAAAATGCTATCCGAGAACAAAGTGTTTTGTTGTTGTTTAGTTTGTTGTTGAATAGGCATCTCCAGCTTTAAATCTCACATTAAATCAGTGTTAATGAATATTAATTATTTGCTTCCTCCTTTGCGTCTTGGTGTGTCTGTTTTTTACTTTTTATTTTTGTGGTGTTGTTATTTGAGGTTTTGAACAATACTTACAGGCCATGGGTGTAGTCCAGGGTGTAGGCAGCTCTGAAAATGGTCCAGCTCTTGTTCAGTGGCTTAGACCTTCAAAGTGAACAGTTCAGTTGAACAACTATGAGGATTTTTAAAGAGAGATGGTCTGCCTAAGAATCCTTACAACAACATTTCATGTCAAAACGGATTTTAGATATCTCTGATTTTCAGTCTGGGCCAAAACACACTAATCTTATGTTGTGGTGTTCTGTACATTCTGTTGTTTTTTAAATTTTAAGTTTCTATGGTTTACTTTGGCTTTCTTGACACATGTTAACTTATTTGCAGCTTGGGTCTGGATGGTCACAAGAGCAGTATTAACTGTAGTAGTAAGAGAAGTTGTCGTAATAGTCATGGAATAGTGGGAGTAGAAACAGTAGATGTGACAACGACAAACACTAGATAAAATGTGTTTTCCATTATAGTACTTGTTGGATTGTTTAATGCTATTTTATTTTGACCTTTATTCTACCAGGAATATTCCCACTGATATTCAAAATCTCCCTTCCATGGAAGTCCTGGCCAAGACTGCATCATTAAGTTTCACAAGATTTAGAGAAAAAGGTTTAGAAAGAGATATAAAGAGCTATAATTAAAAGATCAACGCAACTAAAAAGAACAAAACTTCTAACTTCATTTAATAACTTAAAATCCTTCATTTATTTTACAGTTTTAACATCATATAATATAATATATTGTTGTAAATTAGTTTATAGGATGCAACAAATGTATTCGAATTATAAGTATTGTAATTTTCAGGATGTTTGGCTCATGTCGGCTGTATATACTGCTCAATATTGTGGGCCCAACCTTTGTTTTTTGGGGGGAGTTTGGTCTGTTTTGGCTGAAAGGGGGTCAGATCAGCGGTCAGACTGGAAATCGGAGACAGAATTTATGGTTGTATTAACTCCATGTCTTTCTCTGCAGTGATAAGTGATTGATTGGGTAATTTCCACTTTTAAATGACACCCTGTGTTAGCTGATCATTTAAACGCACCATGAAGGTAGACGGCCAGCATTCCCCTCACACACACAGAGTCAGGTTTGACCAGCACAGATGTCCCATACAGTAAGGCCACACCTATGTCTCAGATCTCTCTCAGGGTGTCAACTTATCTAAGTGGAAAGTCAGCCTGCTTAGCATCAGAAAGAGCGAGTTTCACTGAACTTAACAGATCAGCCTGTAGGGTAATCGCCTAAAAGTCTGGTTTTATATGTCTAACTCATCTGCCTGCTTGGGGGTGTTTTATTAGTTTGTCAATGAGATAGTTTATGAGTTGCTCATTGACCGGGCCAGTTTTTCTCGATCAGTCACACCCATTTTTCCTCCATTAATCCACTCCCAAGCACCTGCCTCAGTGATGAATCCTTCAGGGCAAGCAAGCTGCGTCTGAGCTGAGGTCATGTGCCTCGGCCTTCTCTCATAGAGAGCGTATTGTTTGATCAGCAGCCTCTAACTTTCCCCCTTTGTGATTTTAAAGCATCTCTACAATGTGGCAGATGAATTTTTCAGAAGCCGCACCCAGTCGCTGCCTCCATCAGCAGCCTTATGTCCCATCTGATGACAGAAACACCAGCATTGTAACTATTAGGCTAATTATTGTATTTTTGATCAATTGTTTGTTTTTGTATGTATGTTTCCTGTCCACCTATTTGTTTAATTTAATCCTTGTCATGGTGATAAAAAACAATGCCTTGATTGGATTTTCAACACTTGAATATATAATGAATATATAAAAAAAACTTTCATAGGAATCTTGAACGCACCCTGATTGCCACAGCCAATTTGCAGTGCTTCTCTCAGTGCTTCTACTACTCACTCAGGTTAAAAAAAACATGTCAAACGAAGAACAACAAGGCTTTGAGGCTGATGGGAACAACTTTAACAGAACTTTACTTGACTAACCTGAACACAACACGCCCCAAACTTTCCAATTAATGTTGCACCAGCTGCTTACAGCACAGGGGAATTGAGCCAATCAGAGAAAGAGCAACTCATCCAGTCATTCTACGTCAGCGCTCCTACCCTGAAAGTCGGCTTCTGCTGTAGCTTTTTATCAAAACACACGTGTCTGGTTGCTGCAGAGAATCTGCAGAGGCTAGAAGAACGAACCTTTAAAGTTGTGAGAGACACAGAAACACAATGCTCTTTTGGGATTTCTTTTACTCCTTTACTAATTTTCATGTATATTCAGCCATGAGTTTTTTAAAATGACAACTGTCATTCAAGCAACATGATGTCAGTTTTTATTTATTTTTTTGCTTCAGATGAGCTCATTCAACAAGATTTAAGATTTGTGCAGTAGCTTAGACTGTAGTGACACACCCTTAGTCTGTGACACACAGAGAGGGAGAAGCATGCAGTTCAGTAGCATTCCTGCACCGACACATGGGTGTATGCAGGCCCTGTCTGTGTGTGAGAATGAGAGAGAGATGGAGAAAGAGAGAAAGAGAGGGACACAATGACATAGCAATCTGTCATCTCCTCCGAGTCCAAACTGTGATGACAAGTAAACTATGGCTACACCTCAGTGCATGTAGTGAATGGCTGGATGAAAGTGTGTTTTTGTGTGTGATAGATATAGAAACTGAGATGTACAGAACACAGGCAGGATGTATATATGTGCGTGTGAGAGAGAAAGAGAGAGAGAGAGAGAGAGAGAGAGAGAGACAGAGAATGCTTAGTCATGCTGTGTTTTTGTGTTTGGCTCGTTCTCGTCTCGTTTCGAGAATACGGAAACAAAAGCATTAATCTTTTTAATGTGCGAGATCATTACATAAAACTGGTCACATGACTTTTGTTTTTCAGTGGGCATAAAAACTAGGTAGACAACAGCAAGAGTGCAGCAGAGCAGCAGTAAACAAAACGTGCTCTGTCATGTCTTAGTCCATGTTAAAGTGTGACGTTACAGATTGGTTCATATGTGAGCAGTTAGGATGTCACGTACTATATGCAGTGCATATTTCCATAATGAAAAATCAAGTATTAAGTGCCAGCTAACCCTTACCCTAACCCTATACAATAATAATAAAATAAAGGGGCAGAAAATGAGTTCCACACTTTATTGTGACCCATATAGTTGACTAATTATCAAGTTATAAGGAGACAGTGTTCAGTTATTTGTGGGTCAGATTGGTCTCACATGACAAAAGTACTAATTATGTTTTAATGAGGCCACACTGTCGCACTCCTCAGTGTTGAGCTGTATAAACAGTAATTACTGTACATCCTCTGGCTGACATCACAGACATTCAAGCCTTAATCTGACCTTTAATCAAACTTAGTTCATGTTTACCATGACTCCTCTCCCTCACTGCACGTCCTCTGGTTTTTGCTGCATTTTGTGGACGATCTATCTTATCTTCGTGGCTCACATTCCTCTTTAACTTCGACTGTTTTTTGATGGTAAATGAGGATGACTCAGTTATTACAATGACAATGAACCTTCCTGATAAATCATCAGAAAATTACAAACTAAAACAAACTCTCTGCGTCCTCTCAGTACACTTGTTAGTTTTTCAGTGCGAACAGACAAAGAGGGTTAAAAAGAAAACCTTTCAGCGAGCGACCACACCTGAAACATGTCAGCCATCACACCCAAGACCTGCCAGAGTCCTGCCCAGGCGCTTGCCTCCAGGGCTACTGACAAGAAACATCCACACAATGCAGTGTATATACCCCAGAGGGGATACTAACTAATCTGTTTGGGCTACATATGTGTCAGTAAGATATGACAGACATTTCCATCAGAGCCTGACAGATGTATTTAGCTACATCAGTCAGGATTTGGCTCCATCTGGTGGCAGAAAGGAGCAGCAGACTCGTCTCAAAGGCAGACAGATCCTTATTAGGTTTCATAGTGTATATTTGTCTTTACTGCTAATTAAGAGGAGTGCCCCTTGTAACAATCCTGCTCTCTCTCTACAGCACAATGAGTGCAGATGGAAAAACGCCCCCTCCCTACATCATACCAGGTAAACCAAACACACCGTGCCCACACACATTATCATCAACCAATCATCATCATCATCATCATCATCAACAGAATGACTCATTACCTCCATCTTCTTTCCTTACATTCTCCTCTGTTTGTTTTTCTTTGCACTTTCTCTGGTCCAGTAGACGGTGGTCAGGGGGATGGAGTAAAGGTTTACCACCTCCACAGCCCATTCACCCCTCCCAGCTTGCAGCAAAGCGCCACCTCATTCGCACCAGGTAAACTCTCACCTGATGTTAAACTTCCTGGAAACAAGTCAACAACCTTAGCTAGAATGTATTCTTATACCTAGTAAATTACCTTTCCTATTTCCTCCTCGCTCCTTCCATCAGTGTACACCAGCGGAGGAGGCGGAGGAGGCGGAGGAGGCGACCTAGGTTCAGGTCTTGACTCTGGAGAGGGCAAAAGGAAGTTTGTGAGCTATGACACGGCACTGGGGAGTAATCCCGGCATGACGACCTGCGCTTCCTGCCAGCAGCAGGTCATGACCAACGTCACCTACAAAGCAGGGACGTACGCCTGGCTGATGTGCTTACTCTTCATCTGCTGCGGGTGAGTGTGTGGCCACTTTGACCTGCTTGAGAGATCAAGGGCCGAAATCTTCTGTTGGGCCCCTACATACCTTACACAACAGTACACATTCAGAGTAATGTTAATGTGTCCCTAACCTCACCAAAAGTCCAAAAGTGTGTAAGATGGCCATGTTGTCTAAACAGTGAAAATACACATATCTTACATATATAGTTCAGTAAGAGTGTAGATACTTGGTATTTTTTTCAGTATTCGAGTACTTGCATTGAATTATTATGAAGTACTCGAGAACTGGCAAAACAAAACTAACTAATAAGAAAAGGGTCAGAAATAAAAAAAACAAGCAAAAATGTTGTTGGGGTATGGTTATCCTCCTTATATCCTCCTTTCTGTGCTGTACAGACTGTAGAGATTAGCCAACATGAAGAAAAACCACATCCACAAACAGTGGCTGGTTTACTTTTTCATATGCAGCCATCTTGGCCCCTAGGCTGTAGCTAAACAGTTAATTTAGTTCGGCACATAGCAGATCAGCCCTCAATCCCACTACATTTTCCTCATACATCATCTTCAGTCTGTAGTGGTTGTTCACCGTGATGGTAGATTGTACTCCGGTTCAACAAACCCTGTCAGCTCGCAAAGTCCTCCTACTCACACAAAGTTTAACAGGAGCATATTTCCAGTCACCATGTATGTAAAGAAGCTGGCTTATCTTCTCTACCCTGGTAACATCACAATAGCGCTTGCAAACGATGAGATGCCAGTAGTATACAATTTGCTTTAACACATACTGTTTATTGCTAAGGGACTGTATGAACATTTTAAGGTCTACTAAAAATGTAAATATAAATCTCATGCAAAAAGGTAATTTAAGCCATATGCAGGACAACAACCCTGTCTCTGCATGAAGGCTACATTTTACACAACAAATGAGATTGTAGAAACAGATAGCTCTTATAGTCAGTAAATATGTCATCTCTCCAAAGAGTGTGTCTTTTTTCTTCTTGTATTTTATCTAATTCATATTTACTTTTACTAATTGCCATCCAAAAAGCTGCCACCTGGGCCCAGTTCACTCATTCAGTGGCTGCAATAACCTGTAATAATAAAACCTATATAGTCAAGAGGAGGGTCCAAAATAGAGTCCACAGAAAATATAAATAACACCGGGATTGTTGTTAGCTTTTTATGAAATGAAACATAAGATTCAGCCCCCTACACACCCCAATACTTTTTGCACAGTCAGTAAAAAAACAATAAATGATTAAAAACTAAATGTCCATAATGGCCCAAACAAAGCTAGTTCTGGTGTACAGCTGTGTGACACTAACTCTGTGTGTGTATGTGTTGCAGGTTAGTCCTGTGTTGCTGCCTGATTCCATTCTTCATGAAGAACTTCAAGGATGCGTACCACACATGCCCCCGCTGCAACAGAGTGCTGCACGTTGAAAAGAAGAAATGCTGTAAATGATGAACATGAGGGCAGACATGGGCCCATAGAGATGTGCAGCAACATTCTGTTACTATCGTTTATATTGTGGGATGGAGCTTATTTCTATGGATGAGCCATTGCATTAGCCATGGCAGAATCAAACATCATATTTTTTAGCAAAACAGACTTGGAGTGATTGTGTTGTCAGAGGTTAAATATCGTGTGCTCACTTTTAAAGCTCTGGCAAGTTTTGGGAGACATTTTATTTTTGTCCCATTCCAGCAGAAGAAAGCTTTCTCTATTATCATACTCAGAATTTTCTGCACACGTTATGTTGCTAAAATGAAGGCTTGTACATAAACTTTATCAAATACTTAACGTTTCATGGGATTGTTCTTTTTTTAAATTTAAAACATAAAAGCTGTCCATTTTAAGTGAATGTCACAACACAATATTTTATTAAACTAGAAGATGTAACGTGTAATATTTGCTTGTCTGCAGTTATTGCACAAAACATTTGTGTCAGTGTTGTTTTGCAACACTCCAGAATAAAATAAGACAGATGTGGCTTGTTTGTGTTATATTAATATGTTGTCAGCCATGAAATGACTCTTATAATTCTTATATGAAGGGATGAAGGGAAATCTGAGCAAGCATGAAGTTGAAAAAAAAGCTTATGTAACAGCAGTCGGCTGTAAATGTAATTTTGAATTTTTGTTTAGCTCATTTGAATCTTTCCCCTTCAAACAAAGATGTGTCATCTGAATGAATTACAATGCAAAGGACAATGCAAAATTAAAGCAAGGCTACACTATGACGTGACGTCTTCATTGGTGGCCACTGGTCAGTACGCTTGAAATAAATTGTTTGAATATTTAAACATCTACAAGTATAAAGAAATTAGACAATATATTTGTTTGTTTTTTTGTAGTTTGTTCAATTAAAAATCTTCCTGCTTCATAATATAATAACATAAAAAAGACAGCAGGCCAAATGTGGTTGTGAGGGATGTGATTCCTCCTCATGTCCTCTCACATTGTCGCCTGGATGAAACTGAGAATGCTTGGACTCTTATGTACTATTAAGTATTTTATAACATTATTTCTCTAATAAAAGTAGACTATCTAGACGACATATGGCACTTTGCTGTGTTTTTGGTCTTTTTTTGTGCCCTCCTCTAGAGAGGTCAGAGGTCAAGGCCAGTCAGCTGAGCTGTTGGTGAAGTTGGTGTTTTTAACAAAGCATTGTAAAGCGTTGTTGTAAAGAATTATCAACAAAATGTATTTATGTATCACTGCTGCATTAATATGTATGTTATCTGTGCAGAGAGCGAACAGCGGGCGGATGTTAGCGTTTAGCTCAAAGCACTGCTGTGCCTAAGAACAATGGCTGTGTCCTCTTTTTCTTGTTGGAACTGAATCACATGTAATCTTGACTCTCTTGAGCAAAGTATCAGTCAGCGAAACATCAGTCAGCTCCAGCGTGACCTCTGACCTCACTGGGAAAATATCCTTTCTGAAAATGCCTTCCATCCTGAAGCAAGTTTATGAAAACACGTAAAACATTACTACACGCAGGCGAGTTTTAGATGTCTGAAGATTCTAAGCCATTCACGTTGTAAGATCTTGGTCAGAGTCAAAAGTTTAAATCTTGATAAAATAGTTTGACATTTTGGGAAACATGCTGAGTCACTTTCTTGCAAAGAGTTTAAAGAGCATTCGTACCACTCAACACGCCTGTCTGTTAACTATATGGCAACATCCAGCTTAGGTTTGCAAACACACTGGAAATGAGAGAAAAGGCTAATATTTCTTGGCTCTGAGTGGTTGCCAGGCAACCAGCAGAATCTACAAAGTTACTGCTACCAGCCAAGAAATAGTCTGTCACATAACTCCCCGTACATCGGTGAACTGTTGTTTTTACGCTTTAATTTTGTACAATTAGATAAACAAGATTTAGCATGTTCATTAGTGAACTTTAGAAGTAATGGCAGGCCGGTTTTGTAACCTTAAGACTGAGCTAGGCTAGCCGTTTTAACCCCGGTTGCAGTCTTTATGCTAAGCTAAGCTAAAGAACAGAGCGGCATCCATCTTTTCCTCAGTCTCTCCATCCAAAAAAAAATGTTTCACTCTTCCTCGAACAGCGTTTTGGGTCGACTGGTATGGACAAGCAGCAGTGTTTTTATAGAAAATTTTATTCAACATACATTTTCCAGCAAAAAGGCAATATACAGGAATAGTTGTCGTACACTGCTGCTACACTGAGGATTTTAAACTGGAAAAGATCAAATTAAGGTGTGATTCTGCAGGTCATCTTTGTACTGCACTTTTTAACAAGACAAAACCAATGCAGTTAGTTTTGAGAAGGAAAATAAATCCAAATGTAACAGAAAAAAATCGTCAATGGTACATCAGGAACGCAAAGAAAAAGAGAAAACCCTACACACAAGAAATATGAACACCTGGCTCCTTCTGTACCCAACAACAAAGGCGTGTTTCTCTTAAATTTTACACGTTCATATTTTTAAATATACAATTCTTAAATGTTGTCTTTACAGAGCCAGCTATGCGCTATTAGGGGAGCATTCCATCTGTGCTTTAAAGGAAACAAAACATCAAATAAAAATAATAAATTCATAGGGCTTAAAGTGTTTCTTACAATGCTGGTTTTGTCTCTACACAGTCCTCAAACCTGTGGGTTCGAAGTTTTCCGCAGCTCCCTACCAAGCATAGCGCAGTTACTGCTCCCAATCACCTGGAGATTGGCGACAGTTTCAAACGAGAAAGAAGATGACGAAGCTTGTGTGTGTTTGCGTTCAAGGAGGAATGACTGAGAAAGACATTAAAACCCCCTGAAAAACAAAAATGGAAGAGAACGTCTAGGGGGGGTAATGTCCGTGCATGTGTGTGTGTTCCTTTAAAGTCATTGAGCAACTCAAAACCACAACCAAAATGTACATTTGCCAGTCCTGAGAAACCTCTGACATTAAGTGCAAACGTGCAAGATGAAATACAGACAAATTTCCTCCTTATTTTTTTCCCCCATTTATTTTTAAACAGATGCTGTGGATTTTTATTTATTATACAAGATCTGCAGAAAGAGACAAAAAAAAATGAATTCATTTTTCCTCCAACCAAACTAAGTGAGAAAGAAAATGTGTGTAAACTTGGAAATACTTGTTTTGTTGCACTAAAGGATGGGAGCAGAAAATATAAAGAACCACATCAGGGCAACTAGTGAGCCTCTGGATGGACGCCAGTTCGCAGCAGTTTTTAGCAAAAAATGACCATCAGACCCCCCCCCCCCACACCCTTTCTGTCAGTTAGTCCTCAAACATCCTTCCATCAAACTTTCCACACAGCAGCATTATGCCTCTTCAAACAACTCTTTATTTAAAAACAACCCCCCCCCAAAACAAAAAATCTGAAAGAACAAAAAGCAGGTGAGTGGGGTGGGAAAAGGAAAAAAAAAAGAACCTAAGTCTAGAAATTCATGTGTGCGCGCGCGCGTGTGTACGTGTATATGTGTATACACACACACACACA